ATATGGGCCGGACCCGGTTAGCTCAACCCACGTGGGCTTTAGCAATTGACGGGTTGGTTTAGGCTAGCCCACCATTTTGATGGGCCTTATAATGCTCAGCCCATCTGTAACGACCCAACCGGTCGTTTTGACTGTTAGAATCTCGTTTCCCTAAATAAAACTTCTCGTATGTATTTTTAATGATTTATGACTTGCGGGAATGGTTGGTTCAGGATTTGAAAGTGTTCGGGTTGAAATAGGAACACTTGGTTCCTTAAGTTAGCCTTAAAAGGCCAAGTTTGACTTCAGTCAATATTTTGAGAAAACGACATCGGAATCGGGATTTGACGGTTCCAATAGGTTCGTATGATGATTTCGGACTTAGGTGTATGTTCGAATAGGGTTTTGGATAACGCAGGAGCGTTTTGGCGTATAATAGTGAAAATCAACTATTTGAAGGTTTAAAGTTCTTTAAAATTGGTTTGGAATAGGTTTTGGAGTAATCGAGGTCCGTTTGGAATTTCGAGTCTAAGAATAGCTCCGTATAGTGATTTAAGACTTGCACGCAAAATTTTGTGTCATTCCGAGTAGTTTAAGTATGTTTCGGCGCATTGGAAGTAAATTAAAGAACTTTAAAATATTAAGTTTGAATCAATTTGGTTTAGGGTAAGATTCTTAGATTTGATGTTATTTTACATGTTCCGTGAGTTCGAGCGAGTCCGTTTTATAATTTCAAATCTGTTGGTATGTTCGGGCGGGGCCCCGGGAGCCCCGAGTTTTAACCGGACGAGGCTCGGATCAATTTTAGAAATTTGAAGAAGAACTGAAGCCTTCTGTTTCTCGTACATTCGCACCTGCGCTTGGACAGCCGTAGGTGCGACTCTCGCAGATGCGAGGTTTATGCGCAGAAGCGGAAAAAGGGAAGGGGAGGCCACCGCCGCAGATGCGGAATTTTGGCGCACCTGCGAACGCGCAGGTGCGAGGCAGTGCACGCAGATTAGAGAGGGGGCAGGCGATCGAAACTCGCACCTGCGAGGATTTTCCGTAGGTACGGTACCCCTTCCGCAGGTGCAAAACCACTGCTTGGAAGAATGGTTAAAAATCGGGGCTCAGACATTTTGAGTCCATTTTTCCTCCATTTTCGGGCGATTTCAGAGCTTTTGAGAAGGGAGTTCAACTAACAACTTGGAGGTAAGTTAATTCTACACCCCTTGAGTTAAATACATAGATTATAAGTAAATTATAACTAGTAAATCTTAGAAATCAAAGGCTTAGATGAAAAACCTAGATTTTTATAAAAATGAGATTTTAACCACGAAAATAGTTATGGAATTGGGTAGAAATTATATATTTGAGTTCTTGAGATTTTGGGTAATAATTTCATCCAAAAATTTCCAGAATCCGGGCACGTGGGATCGGGGTGAGTTTTAGAAATTTTATTATTTTGGTTAGGGTAATTTATTCAATTTCCTAAATTAGAATTTTTGAACATGTATTAATTATTTTGTAAAATATTTGGATAGCTTCGGATTTTTCGGCACCGAATTGTGCAACACCTTTCTGTTTCATATTGAGTCCTCAGAGGTGCGGCCCACTTGGTGTCCCCTTACCTTAAACCTTAAGTAGCTCACTGAAGGAAGTGTGAAAGTAAGCAAGCAAAGTCTCTACCCGAAATCAATAGCCCGCAAGAAATAGAAAGGAAAAAGCCTATTCCTATTCTAGAAATCCTGCAAACTATTAATCGAAGTACTTAGCACTCACCGCCTTAATGCTCGAAAACAATAAGGGATTAGCTCAAGGAGTACTAAAAAAGGTGCTAATGGCAGTGGGACTCCTGCAGGTAATAAGAAGCTTAAAAAATGAAGCCCATTTTTTTGAAATCCCACTATAGTAATGCTTATTACAAATAAAAAAAAATTCTCCCCTCAAATATGAAAACGCGACGTGGTAATCGGAAAGTGGACTTTGAGACAAGGTAAGTCTCTTATCTAATCTTGTGAGGGGGAAATTTCCTCATAGGTGATTAAAAATTAAATAATTATTGCTAATTATGGGGGATACGTACGCACGAGGTGACGAGAGTCCGTGCGTAGCTACTATTAATGCTAAAGTCCGGGTAGTTTAGGACTCGAAGCATGAATTACTTGTGTAAAATTATATTCTTTGTTTAATTAATATATATATATA